CGCCTGGCAGCCCGACCGCGGGCCCTGCGTGCTGTCCGAGTACCAGGCCTTCAGGTGAGCGGCCCGCCAGCCGAGGAAAGGCTCCCCCGCTCTGCTTTGGCTGGTTTCACCGTGCGGCAATAAAACGTCCGTGCCCAGGTGACCTTGCACTCTGCTGTAGGGAGAATGTGCTGAAGAACCTGGACGACAAGGCTTTTGACAGGCCCATCTGCGAGGCCCTCTTAAACCAGAAGTTTTTCAATGGAATTGGGAATTACCTCCGCGCTGAGATCTTGTTCAGGTAAGGGTGGGTTGAGTACCTGCTGCTCTGCCACCAAGTGTTGGTCTCCAAGAGTTGGCCAGGGCTTCCTGGCTCCTTGGGCGGGCTTCCTCACCTGGTAGCCACGGATAAGAGGCAGAACCAAGAGTTCAAGCTTGTGCGTAACAGATGGCCACTCACAGGGTGAAGATCCCTCCCTTTGAAAAGGCTCGGACCGTGCTGGAGGCCCTGAAGGAGCAGGAGGAGACAAGGAAGAAGAAGGTGGGAAATAGCTGGTGCTTTGGCAGCCCCACAGGACACCTCAGCAGCTGGGTCCCAGGAGCCTCCCACCTTCCTTGCAGGGAGCCGGACAGAGCTGAGGAGCGTTCCTGATTCGGGTTTGGGCTCGGTGGAGGGGCTTCAGTCTGGGCTTGGCTGGCAGCCTTGCTTGGACTCTGCTTCAGGCTTAGCTGAGCACGAAGCTCTGGTTCAGGTCTGCTCTTTCGGGCTTGTTCTAGTCCAGTGTTTGGGGCCAGTTTCAGTTCATGTTTGGTTCCTCGCTCTGATGGGGCAGAACATCATCACGAGGCCCTCGCGGAGCTCACGCAGCCTCTGCCCACACCGCTGTCCGCAGGTATTTGCCATTGGAGTCTTTGCCGACCCAACAGCAGGCATTTCCCCTTCCCAAGTATAGTCCCTGCTGCACGGGATCTTTCTCCTCAAGCGCGTCACTGCCCTTTGCCTTAAAACTCCTGTGTCTGAGCACGCCTGCCCCTCCAATGGAGCAGAACATGGGGCGCAGCGGTTCTGTAACCTCACACACGCAGCGTTCGTTTGCACGTGGCCAGGCCGATGAGCTGTGACAGCTCCCTGGCACACGCTGTGTGCCCAGCAGCAGCTGGTTTCTGCCGTCAGCACGTCTCTGGGTGTATTTGGGGTGGGTGAAGAGGAAGGGGCGAGGGAAACACCCTCTGAGGGGAGACCCTGATGAGGCTGGGGCAGCCAGCAGATGACTTCCCTCCCCTTTGCCACCCCTGCAGAATCCTTCCCTGACGCTGAGCAAGAAGCTGAAGTTGATGCGCGAGAACCCGGATCTCCTGGAGCTGTGCCACGCCGTGCCCATGGAGGTCATCACGGCGGGTGAGGTGACAGACAGGGAGCTGGGGGACAGGGATGGCTGGGCCTGGCCAGGAGGCCTGGGCTTTGGGTGCTCAGCAGCAGGTGGCTTGGGAAGGCACCCCGACAACGTGGTCACTGCTCCTCCTCTACTTCTGTCCTTTCCCTCTCTCCCTTCCCAGAGAAAAAGCTCTTTGAGCCGGAGCATGCAGAAAACTACGCCGCCTTCAAGAATTGGCTGCAGTGTTACTTGGTGCCTGGCATGAGCTCCCTGCGTGACCGCAATGGCAGGACCATATGGTTCCAGGTAGGGGTCTGCGGTCAAAGCCTCCCGCCCGCCCCCCCAAGGGGCCACCAGCCCCTGCTGCTGCCTGCAGCATGGCTGCGCCCCACTCAATGCTGTCACCTTCCTTGTAGGGAGAGCCTGGCCCCATGGCTCCCAAAGGTGAGTGTCTGCTCTCCTCAGCTCACCCATCCCCTAGGACAGCAACCCTGAAAGGTCATGGTGCCTGTCCCATCTCCTCACCCCGCCTAACCCACCGTGTCTTCTCACACAGGGCAGGCGTCCCGCAAGAAGCACGCTCGGCTGAAGGCAGATCCCGACGCTCTGACCCCCAAGGTAAGGAGCTTTGTGGCTGATGTGGCTCCTGCCGGCTCTAGAGGCTGTCCTGCTCCCCGTGCCCTGCTCCAGCTCTGGTGTCCACCCAGGTCACCACGCGCACCTCGAAACGGCGCCCCAGGGCTGCAGCGAAACCCTCCAAGCCAGCCGAGGAGAAGGAGGTGGCTGACAGGCCAAGGAAGGGACGGTGTCGTGGGAGGAGGAAGGCAACCGCTGCTTCGGCCTCGTCTGAGCCTGAGGCGCCGGTCAAAGCCAAAAGAAGCTGCCGGACGACTGCACGCAGGGGCAGAGGTGAGGCTGGCAGGCACTGCATAGGCAGGGGCTGTGGGAGCACTCCCTCCTGTCAGGGGGCTGATGGGTGCCAAAGGCTTCACGGGGCAGCACCCGGTCCCCCCCTCACCCTCTGACTTCTTGTTTCACTCCCCCATTTTCCAGGTGCAGCCCCTGCCGTGTGAGCGCACACTGCCCTCCTCCCGAGGGGCATTTTAATGGCCACAGGAGCTCGGGGAGGGCCTGGGTTAGTGAAACGGGGCTGCTCTGTATCCCTGCTTGTGCCTGCTGGCTACCACTGCGTCCTGCCAGAGTGGGAAGGAGAAGCTGGGTTTGGTGATGGGGCTGATTTATCCAGCATTCTCCTGCTGTCCCCAGGCATTTGACGGCGATAGGGGCCATGGACCATGCATGGTGCTGGACTCTGACCCTTCCCTCTGCCTAAAAGCTGATTCCCTCTTCTTTCTGCTCTTCCCTTGCTGCCTTGACCACCATTTTTAGCACTGTTTTTTAGCTGGCTAATAAAAGTATTTTGTGTAGAAATCGCCATGCACGATTTTCTTTGTGCTAAGGATAACCTCCCTGTGCCCAACTGCTTCCAAGGTGGCTTCCCCTCCACCTCACCCCTCCAAAATCAAGGTATGCTCTGCCTCCCCCATGCCCAGAGCGAGATCCTGCTGAGGGGGACACTAAGAGAGCAGCAGCTTCAACAGAGCCCCTGGAAGGAGACAGATCAGTGCAGTTACCTGGAAATAAAAAGCACACTGGAGTTTGTTTTTGTGAAATCAAATACAACATATCTTGTGTTCCCTTTCTGCAAGGGCAGCGCAAGGGGCAGGCAACGGGAGAGGGGAATGGCTGTTGCAGGTCTGCACACTCGCTGCTTGGGTCTGGACAAGATGAAGGCTGAGATATGGGAGCCATCGTGGAAAGCTGCTGCTCTCTAAACTCCTGAGGTCAGAGCAGAGCCCGTGTGGGTCCCACGGCGCCGGCAAGGGCGACTGACAAGCGTCACTGCGCCAAGACCAAGAGCACGGAGAGCACGCGGAAGGGGGTGAAGGAAAGCCTCACGCCTTGCTGCTCCAGCGCCAGGCGGCCCCGTGCCACCGGCTGCTCCAGGAGGTCACAGCTGGGGGAGAAAGCAGAGGATGAGGCCAGAGGGATCAATCTCCCTCCCCACATGTGCCCAGCATGGACTTACAGCATCGCCTCCTTAACGGGGAGGGCGGTCTGCAGCCAGGCGATGACCGTGCTGCCGTGCGCCTCGTACAGCCGAGCCACCACAGCGTCAGGTCTGTCCTCGGCCTTGCAAACAGTTCAGAGAAATGAGAGGCGTGGGGTACAACGGCTTAACCCGTCTGCCCTCCCCGCCTCTGCCCTGGGAACCTGCCTGCTTGATGGTCTCCAGCACGACCGCAGGCGAGCTGACGGAAAAGGCGCTCCAGGCCGCGCACTGGGCAGAGCTGGCCAGGACTGCGTGGAGGGGGAAATTCAAGTTGTAGGCACACTGGATCACACCGGCGTCCTGGAAGGAGCCTGCAACGCAAGAACCTCTACCAGCCTCTACGCAGGCACACCCCGAGGCTCGCCGGAGCATCCTCTGCCCCACGTGTCCCCGCACTCACCCCGGTGCGGCATCACAGCGTAGGTGAACTGGTGGTGTGCGATGTCCGCCGTGGCATCGGGGGACTTGGGTGCCCTCAGCCTAAGGCAACAAGAGGCAGCACCCTCTGTCAGCAAGTCAGAGCCAGAGGAGTGCTCTGACAGCCGTCTCCCACTGCTGCCTCAAGACCGGGCCCCGAGGTGGACGCTAACACGCTGCTGGTTTTTGACAAGAGCAAAGAGACCCTGGACAAGGTGTCCCAGAAGCTAATGCTGACATTTGAAGGGTGGTTTCCTGTGAAACTTGGGTCTGATGGAGTCAAACTGAAATACGTAGAGTTTCTCTTAGCTTTGTATGCATCTGTAACATGGCTGTGCCTTCCCCCTCCTTAAGCCTCCCCTCCTGAGGGACGTTTTGGCCAGCAACAGAAAAATTACTTAGGGCAAATGTGGAACTGATCTCTCCTTAATTATCTATGAGTGTAACTCTTAGGAATTACTTAAGTCAATTAAGTCAGCCAAAAGTTCTCAGACCACAGCCAGCCACTCAGACTAATACCAGTTCATGATTCATTATTAACGATGATTATTTAGGACCTCCAAGAGACACCTCACCCCAACCCTACTCACAGCGAGAGGCTGAGGACGTTCCCGTGAGCTGAGGCCCCGTATTTGCAGTCGTTCAGCAGTGCCAGCCCGAAGCCGTGCTCAGAGAGATCCAGCCACTTGTGAGCCCACACCTGCGGGGAGGTACCAGGGGCCACATCCACCACCCAAAGCAGACGCGGCCCCACCGCGGGAGGAGCAGCTCGGTCCTGGCACCAGACCACCTTTCCTCTCACCTCGAACCGAGCCCAGTCCCAGGACGTGTTCCAGTGTGTTTGCCGCTGCAGGTGCCCAAACTGGATCTCGTAGGTGGCACTGGTGCTCCGGACCTGCGCGGGGAACTCCACCTTCAGGAACTTGTGAGCTTCCTTCCACTCCACCTAAATGTGGAGGCAGAAGGACATCACCATAGGGGGCTGACAGACAGAGGCTGCAATTATCCTTGCCCGCTGTGCAGCAGCCAGCTTGCACCCAGACCTGGTACAGTAACACCCCACCAGACTCTGAGCACAGGCAGTGGGGGGCTCCAGGGAAGGAAACAGGATGGGGAACGTAATTCAGACGCAAGGTTCAGCTCCCCAGGGCCCTGCCTGCACAGTGCAGATGCCCGTATCGTGCGGCCGCTGCTGGCCAAACCTGGGTGAGGAACCGGAGGTAAGGGCACGTGGCATCCAGGATGATCTCCTGGGTTAAGGTGCTGCTTTCCCCGATCCGCAGAGAGAAGCTGGCACTTCCTCGCAGGCCCCCAGCCAGGGTGATTTCCAGAGGCTTCAGCAGCGTTGTCACTGGCTTCCTGGAGAAAGGGATAAAGGCAGATGCAGGTTCCCGAATCCCAGTCCAGCCTCCCACACAGCAGGCACTCCCTTCTCAGCTTTTGTTACAGCTAGGACTAACGTGGAGACAAGAACCTCAGAGCAAAGACAAAAACTGTGTGCTGCATGCACTGCTCCTCTACCTGGTTTCCAAGTGATAATCCATCACGTCCCAGGCATCCCAGTACAGGGGAATATCATCAAAGAGTGCAAACTGGTTGGCATAGCAGCCATCTGGGACTGACTCTCTGGAACAAAGTGGAAGGGAGAAACAGCAGCGTAACAAGGACTGGCAGTGTAAGAAGGGCTTACAGCGAGAAGATGACCCGAGGAGCCCAGTTCCAGTAGCGAGGTGACAGACAGACCTCTCGGAGCCCACCAGCCGCAGCGAGGTCAGGCGCCCCATCGTGTCCAGGCAAACCGCAATCACCCCGTTCTCCATTGCAACGGAGCCGTCCTCCTGCGGGGAAAGGACAGAAACCCATTTCCCAGCCCCACACCTGCGGCAGTTGAGTGCTCCAATTGCAAATCTAGCGCACAGGATTCCCTAAATTTCTCCCCAGTCAGCCTTTGACGCAGGGTACGGCGATCTGAGGACAGGTGATGTTCTCCTTACCTGCTTCCTCACTGCCACAGGCTGAGGGGGCAGCAAGGGCTCCCTCACCATAGCGTAGCCCATGCTGGGGACTGTCACCAGAGCTGGAAAGCAAAGAGGTTCTGTCCCAATGTCTGCCCTGGACCTTCCAGGGCAGGGAGAGGTAGAGTATTTCTTTGCTAGCTGTCTCTGCCCCTGTAAGAAACTCCGAGACGCGAGCTACCTCCTGTTAGACATACCTAAAGTCTCTGCTCCTGCTGGCCCAGTCCTGGAGATCACCTCGGTGCGTTCCCAGGGCAAAGTGTTCAACACAAGGATGCTCCCGGTGCTCCCCGCCTCGGGCTGCAGCAGTTCCCCGCACAGGGCCCGCACAGCCTCCTCCTGCAGCCGAGCGCCAGCCCTGCGGATCTCTGAGCAATAAAAAGGCCCGAGTTGGATCCGGCAAGGCGATTTCTCACACCTGAGCGTTTCTGGTGCTCCCGTGCAACGGACACACATTTTTAGCTACTTCCAAGCTAAAATTACTAATTATCATTAATTACTGTTATCTATTAGCAAGTATTTAAAGTAATTCAACTGAAACCTCTGCAGCCCCACCGGGCAGGAATAACGTGTGCTCCAACAGATAAGTGCTCTCCCAAGCAAACTCCCTGTTCACCTGTGTAGTATTGCAGGGCATCCTCAACCACGAGCTGGATGCAGCTGCCTGGCAAAACGTCATGGAACTGGTTGAGCAGCAATAACCTAAAAAAAAAAAAAAGAGACCAAGAACCAGGTGAGGAAGCAGAAGAGAGCACTGGATTTGTCCTGGCCTACTAAGCCCTGTTTGCAAGATGGACAAAGTTCAAAACAGTTCCTTATTCCCCATGAGCAAAGACTTGAGAGAAAAGGATTTTTTCCACAGCACCTTTTGAAGTGCGTAACTGTCACAGTAAACCACAACCATGGGCAGCAAGAGTGAATTTTTTTATCCCTTGGGGCTACCCAATACATTGTTGCACAAGTTCAGACAAGTCAAAACTGGCAAGAAATAAGCTCAGGTTGGAAATGAAGCTTCCAGCCAGCAGAGAAGCCAGCCTTTGGAGCAACCTTCGATGGGAGAATCAAGCTCCAGCCGGATGAGGATGGGAGATGAGCGACACAGAGCCCTCGGCACATCCTGCCCCGGTGGTGGTGGGTGCTGCCCTCACCTCCAGAGCCGCTGCAGCTGGCTGGCAGGATACCGGAACGCGCCGCCCCGCGCCGCAGCCAAGGCGCTGAGCACTTCAACATCGTGGAGAATTCGCTCGCACTCCCGATTCCCCTTCTTTATCTGGTGTCAAGGCAAGGCGAGAAGGAAGGTTCTCAAGAAACGGGCGTGTATGGAGGAGAACTGAGACCGGTCGCTTTCCCTGCTGGGGAGGGAGACCACCGTCCCTGTCCCCCGCGCAGTCACCTGGGCCTGGGAGGTGTACGTGCCGTTGTGCAGCTCGAGGAAGAGCTCTCCCACCCAGGTGCACAGCTGCGATGACTCCTTCTCCAGGGCAGAAAAGAGCCTGCCGGGAGTGGAGAGCTGCACCCTGCGGGAGGG